CCTGCACCTGCATCCAGTGATTGAGGGTTTTGGTGCTGACAGTGCACATGCTCCCCTTTACCCTCAGCTCACACATGCCCACCACCATGTGGACTGTACTGGACTGCAAGGGATCCAGCCATGTCCTAATGCCCTCCTTCAGCCAGCTCCCCTCCTCTGACGTATTTTGCTTTCTCTTTTCTGTTGTCCAGCCGGTTTCTGAGAGTTAATCAAATCAGTTACAACAGTAATGAGTCCGGTGAGATGTCACCTCTCCCAGCAAGGTTGATCCAGGCATTTCCGTCTTCTCTGCACCTCTTCCTGCTGTGCCAAACTCAGGAATACACAGTTCATGATGCCACCAGCTGCTTCTTCACCTACTGTGTCTAACTCTTAGAGTAGGGGTGTCAAACTCACCTTGTGCCCTAGGCCGGAGTCAGAGGATATAACCCTTTGCAGGCTGGAGCTGGACCATGTGACCCTATGTCACAGCGGCAGCTCCAGCCCCAAGCATGTGGCAGAGACTGGTGGCCAGGAAGTTAGGGCTAAAGCAGTGTGGCTGGGTAAACCAGCTGTGTCAGCCCTGGTTTGCTCTCCTACTGCCACGTCCACCAGGGTTCAAGGGTCCCAGACTCTGGGGCAGGCTACTCCCCAGTCATGCTGGTAGCCCAGTGGGCTAGACAGAAGAGCTCCACAAGCTGAATCCAGCCCATGGGCCATATGTTGAACAGTCCTGTCTCAGAGTTTATTCCTCCCTTCTCTGCTTCCAGCCTTCTTTTTCAGGCTTTCCTTCTCCCATCCTCAAGTCCCAGCGAGCATTTGCCGCCTTCCTAAGGCAGGGACAGGGATGATCTGCAGTGACAAGAGTCACATACCCCATCTCCCATGCTTCTAGATCCTCACTCACTAGCCTGCATACTCTTTGTATAAACACAGCCCTCTCAGAGGCTGAGGGTCCTTGGCAAGGCCTTAAATGCTGCTCCAGTGTACACAAGAATGAGCCAGCAAATCCTCTCATGCCCTTTCCTGCTCTAGGAGACAGGAAAGCATCACCTTTCCACCTCACAAGGAATGCCTGACCTTCCCCCCATTGGAAATGTTTTATGTCAGGACAGCTGGGGAGAAAAACTGGGACCCAGTTTGTAGCTGCACCTCAGTGCAGGAAACCAAAAGAGCACTTGGAAGAGACATAAAAAGGAAAGGCAACCATCTCTCCCAAACAGAGTAATTGTCCTGCATACCAGTGCTTGACCCCAGATTCCCCACTGCTGAATCTGGGGTCTCCCCATATGAAGCTGCAAACCCACTCTTGGCATGTATCACTTTGCCCTATTTCACTAAAGATTTCTATAGATCCCCAGCATTAGGTCCATCCTAAGTCAATGAAGCCTGGTACTACAAAGGAAACCCTGACCACATTGTCTATGATCACATTTTTTATTATTATTATTTACACATTTATGAGCAAAGATGACTTCTGAACCAAAGGACGGGACACACACATTCCAGCACTGCAGCAAGCCATCGGATGGACTGTAAGGCCATTCACAAGGACGGGGGCAGGGATGGACATCACATGGACAGATGTGGTGACACATAGGACCCATTTGTGAATCAATGATTCATGCTTTATTGGCCAAAGTTATTAGATTCTGTCAACCACCAAAGCAGAGATGCACAATTTCTTCTTTTACAGCACAGTGATTTACTCATGGTTCACCTCTTCTCCCACTCCCCACCCAGCTCCTTCAGAACATCACAATTTTAAAGCAATGCCTAGACAGTTCAGAAGCAAGGTTCAGACAAGCTCAAGGGGATCCAACAGCAGTGTTTAAAACAACCAGTGAGAACCGAACTCTTGCATCTTCTCACCTGCCCCTGTTATACAAGAACAGAGGGCGACAGCAAGGCCTTAAGAAAGGATCAAAGGAAATACTTTACTCACTTTACGCAGAGACCAGCTGAACTGTGGAACTCACTGCTGCAGGAGGTCATCGAGGTAGATGATCTGGCTGGGAGTTTAAAAGAGGATGGATAGCGTTACAAACACTAGTCACTTCTAATTGGTGCCAGCTAAGCTTATGCTTCAGTACAGAAGCTTTCAGGAACGTCCCCCACCCCAGAGAGCAACCACCTGGCTACATGCGTTAGCAAAGGAAGATGAGAGGAGTTCACCTTCCCCTGAAGGCCCCAGCACTGGTTCACACTGGAGACAGCCTTCTAGATCATGGGGCTCAATGGCTTGTTCCAGGATCACAACTCCCAGGCTCCTTAGAAGAACTTTAGCAGTGCCTTAGGGTAAAGGGGAAAGGTCTTCTCTACAAGGGCTTTGGGATTCTGGTTCCCTGGACTTCTGACAAGGATTCTGAGGAGAGATGCACAGTCCCACTTCCTCCCATTCCCCACCCTTAAACTCCAGTTGCCATGGCGATGTTACTGACAATTTCAATGCATAAACCCAAATTTGCATTTTAATGGGACACAATTAGAATGCTGAGATAAACGATTCTTTCTTTCTAAAAAGGTAGCACGTGCACGCCACACCACATTTCACAAATAGGCCCCACAAGCACACCCCACATCCATGTACGTGCAAGTCTAGACATCTTTGGGCCACTTAAGTTTGGAAGTTACTTGCAGTTCAGCCCTCCTTAGCTGCAAAGTCATACATCCTTCCTACAGCAAAAAAGCATGATGTGCACCACTCCTCTCAGACCTCGCTAGGCTCTGCGCTTTCTTGCCTCAACAATCCACCTCCATCCAGCCACTCCATGAGCTTCCTCATCCAGGTCCCCAACATACCTCAGCTACAACATTAATTTCCTACCCATGCACCTATCCCAGCTCAGACACAGCAGACACTCCCTTATCCAGCATCCAAGCTACATTACAAGCTTCCCCACTCTCAAAGCACATCCCAGCTCAGCCAAGAAGTACTTACTACCCCTCCCCAGCACTGAGTCCATGATATGCTCCCTCACCTCAGCACCCCATCAGGGGCCAAGCATGTGGAATGATCTTCTGTGGTCCATCAAGGCCCTGATGCCCTGACAGCTTCCTAGTATCAACCCTGCCTGCTCTGACACTGCAGCCATGTTCAGTCACCAGCGATGCTGTCAAGAGTTTCCACTCAACTGCTTGGATCAGAAAGAGACTAGTAAGCAATTATCACATCCTTTCAGCAGAGGGGCAGATAGTCAAGAAAAGGCAGAAAGAAGTACAGTTACGAAAATGTTTCCAAGGCTTCCCCGTTTACTTCTGCATTAAAAAGAAAAAAACCCTATATCTGCTTGGTATAAAATAGAAAAGCAGAAAATGAATTTCTCCAGCCCTTCGTCCAAACTAAATTCAAAGCAAGCAGCTGGCAGAAGTGAAGGGAGAGTGAGAAATAAATTAAAAAGGAAAAGAAAAAAAGGAGAGAAAGGGAGAAAAGCAAACAAGTGAATCATAAAAGCTGCAAACCGCCTGGAAATTTCATTTGGCTTTTCAATTGGAAAGTGACATGACGTCTAAGTAGGAGGGGGATGGGGGGTGGGAATCACAGCTGAGAGAGAAGAAAGTGGCCAAGCTGAGAGAGAGACAGTCCAGAAAATGAGTACAACCTTGCACAGACCCTCGCTGACCTGTGATGACCCTTGGTCTACCAGTCCCACCCCTCTGGGGACTGCAGAAAGCAAAAGCTGGAGGGATGGTAACCACCGTGCAGCTGGCTCATCACACCTGGCTCGGATGTCTCAGCAAAGCCCATGATACGAACAGGGAAACGCTAATTAATCTGTTAGATATTCCCTTGGGAGGCAAGTGCCACAGGCTGGCAATGTTTGAAAGGGAAGAGCTTGTTTGATGGGTGCAGCAGCACGCGTGTGGTCTGGCTTTCCAGGACAGTGAAGTGCACAGGATTTGGTTCATCCAAAAAAAAGATTTACCCAAGGTCCTCACAAGCTAGAAACACAGCTCCTATGACAAGAGGGCATGAAAAGTGGGTGCAGGGGCAGCAGAGGCAAAGCACTGCTGTGAGGAAGACTGGCAGTGGCTTAGAGCAATAAGAAGTGGGTGCCTCTGCTGGGCACCGCTGCAGCGAAGCTCACAGCACTCAACCCCTACTGGGCTGACAGGGCAGCGCAGCGGGGAGCTGCTGATGGCTGTGCGTTGCACATGCAGATGCTGAGAAGATGAAGCCTAAATTGCTCCCCAGGGTATTTGCAATCTGGATCTGTGACCTCCTCATCCTCACTCTCATGGAAATCATTCCAAGAGGCTAATAAGCCACTTTAACCACTGGACCACCAGCAGCAGCTCCCAAGGCTCCTGATCATTCACTACATGACAATACTCACACTAACGGTTAACTCTGCACCATTATTAGCTAGACAGCCCCACAGGACACATCCCAGCTCCCCCTCCCCTACCTGTGCATCATGCCTGCTGCTCCCCTCTTCCCATTGACCAGTATGCACAGCACTGCCACCCCCACCGCCCAGCATCCAGCACTCTGCCCCACAGCCCCACAGAGCAGAGATCCAAGGGCGAAAAGCTCTCTGTCTCCTCCCCTTGGAGCTGCTGGTCCCAGCTTGTTTGTGTCATTAAAGCACTAATGCAGACCATTTAGGGACGTTGCCATAGCAGCATGGCTTACAGGGAGGGCCAGGGGAGGTGGCCAGAGGGGAAATCTTTAAGCAGCTGCGGGTTCCCCCTAGGTAAGTTTCCCAGCACTACCAGTCTGCGC